GGAGCTGTCCCAGGTGAGACCTGTCCCAGGTAGGACCTGTCCCAGGTAGGAACTGTCCTAGGTGAGACCTGTCCCAGGTAGGAGCTGTCCCAGGTGAGACCTGCCCCGGTAGGAGCTGTCCCAGGTAGGACCTGTCTCAGGTGAGACCTGTCCCAGGTGAGAGCTGTCCCAGGTGAGACCTGTCCCAGGTAGGAGCTCTCCCAGGTGAGACCTGTCCCAGGTGAGAGCCGGCTCAGATAAGAGCTGCAGTGCAGCTACATCCACGGTCTTGCTTTTCCTCCGAGGTTCCTGGAGCTCAAAAGTCCCAGCACCTTCTCTGGAGGGTGCGAAATGGGAGTCAGAGACCAGAAGCCGGTTGGCTGATGCGGTCTGCTTTGCAGGGACACTGTACCAAAGGCTGGTCATTGCCGAGCAGAACCTGACGAGTGAGCTGTACCCCTACCAGGAGAGGTGAGTGACCCCTGACAGCATGCTGGCTTCCGCCCCCTCCAGGTATTGGGACGCCATGACTGCTCACCGAGGGGGACAAGGCTGGGTGGAGAGGAACCCCAGCAGAGTTTCCTGTCCATGGCATTTGTCCCGGGCGGAGTGTATTTGCAAGGGTGGGCGGGGCCTGCCTTCTCTGGAGATCACAGGAAGCAGGGTGGTGGGTCTGTCCTCTGGGGCTGGCTCAGAGCCCTCCCGCTCACATGCAGAAGGTGAGACGAGCACTGGGCCAGTCTGGAGTTCTGTCGTTCCACCTCCGTCCCGCCCTTGGCCATGATGCAGCATCAGCCGGCCAGCCTGCTGGCCAGAGGTGGCTCCCGGCTGCTTACGGTCCAGGCCACAGTCACACCGTGAAATCTGGGGCTTTCGTCTGTGCGTGCCTGGCCCTTCAGATAAGATTGAGGAAATGTCTGCTGTTGGTGTGGGGAAGAGGGGCCGGTGAAGTTGGGGGTACCGCTGCTGACCCGGCCCTGGAAGGTGTGGCTTGAGGCTGTGTTCATGGGGGGTGCAGCGAGGTGAGGTGGAGAGACCCAGAAGAGCCGGGAGCCAGGAAGGAGAGCAGGGGCGGGAGGGAGAGCAGGCGCTGGCATGATAGGGTGATGGGAGGAGGCGGGGCTCACTCAGGGTCCAGAGTCCGCTTGGGCAGGAAGGAATTAGGGTCCCTCCTGGAGGGCGATGTCATCAGTGGACCACAGAGCTGAGGGGGTGGCGGACAGGATTTAGCTTGGGACTTGCCTGGACGCGAGACTAGGGGGCACCCAACGGGGGCCAGCTGTTCCTGCCTGCTCTCTGATTTGCCACAGTCCCTACTCCTCCCTATTGCTGTCCCCCCAGAGACTTTTTTTTTTAAGTTTATTTATTTTTAAGAGAGGGCAGCGCAGAGAGAGAGGGACAGAGAGAATCCCAAGCCGTCAGCGCAGAGCTGGAGGCGGGGCGCCACCCCACCAACCGCGAGATCATGACCTGAGCCGACATCAAGAGTCTGACCCTCAACCGACTGAGCCACCCAGGCGCCCCAACCCCCATAGACTTGGGAATCCGAGGCTCCTGTTTTTGGAGGAACAAAATACTCGGGGGCTGCAGGGCTCCACGCTGCCCTTCCAGGCTCTCTCCCCGCCGCAGCCATCCTCTGCAGCAACCCCCCCCCCCCAACCTCTGCCCTCAGAGCATTCCTCTTCGTGGACCCCGAGCTGGTGTCCCCGTCCGTGTGCAGCGCGCTGCTGCTGGAGCTCGAGGCGGCGCAGGCGCAGCAGACGCCCGAGGCCTGCATGCGCCACGTGGTCGCCCACGCCCTGCAGGCCGCCCTGGGGGACGCCTGCCACGCAGGCGCTCTGCAGAGGAAGCTGCAGGTAACCGCCCCGCCCCAGCCCTCCTTGGCTGCGCCCGGGGCCCTGCACGCACACGCCAGCTCTCCTCCCCGTCTGCTCTCCTCCCCGGTTCAGACCACCCTTGCCCCCTCAATGCGGAAGGAGTACGCACTCATTAAGGAAAATCCGGGGCGGGGATGCACGCAGGCCGAAAGAGGAAAGAAAAATCGCTCACACCCGCCCACCCAGATGTATTCCCAATCAACGTTTTGGTCTATTTCCTTAATAATACAGACGACGATAACCCGGACAGGTGCTGTCGATTGAATGTCTGTGGTGTCCCAGGCACGGCGTTAGACACTTTTACCTGTATCACATTTAAAAAAGGCTCACCACGTGTCAACAACATTGTGAAATGGGTATAATCATTAAAACTGGGGCACAGAGAGGTTGGTAACCTGCCCGTGGTCACACAGGTACAAAGTGACTGGGTCAGGATTTGAACCCAGATCTCTCCGACCTCAAACTTATGTTCCACCGCGTCCCGGCCCCACAGCCCCACCACCCTTTTTTAGCAGGAGATACCAAACTCTGCATACAGTTGTCCCGAATTAGGGTGAGAGGCCGGGCCTCGATACTCCCGCACCTATTAATTATTGGACGTGGACGGTCCTCAGGAAGGGACATGACCGTGGAGAGTGGCTTTTTTTTTTTTTTTTTTTTTTTTTTTTTGCCGGAGGCTGACTATGGAAAGGGACTCAGCTGACAGCTGGCGGTTGCTAATGCTCCCAGCAGCGGGGCTAACGAGTGCCTCAGTCTTGAAGGTGGGAATCCGGGGAGCCATCATGGCATTTATCACACTGTTGCACATGGAATCAAAGCCAAAGACATCTCAATGGCCTACAAGACCCTCGAGATCTGTCCCACCTCCTCGCTTCCTCTCTGATTCCATCTGATTCCAGATGATTCCAACTTCTGTACTTTCCCTCTCTTCCTCTCTGCTCCAGCTGCATAGGTCTCCCTATTGTCCTTCAAACATGCCAGGCATGCTTACACCTCAGGGCCTTTGCACATGCCATTTCCGATGCTTGGAACATTCTCTCAGATATCCACATGGCTCGCTCTCTCACTTCCTTTAGGACTTTACTCAAAAGTCACCTGTCGGTGAGACCTCCCTGATCACATTATCTAAAATGTCAGCCCCTGCCCCCAATTTCACATCCTTCTTCTCTGCAATTTATCGTACTATAAATTTTACTTCTCTTGTTTATTATCATTGGGGGGGGGTGGTGGAAAGAGAGACATACACTATAATATAAACTCCCTGGGAACAGGAATTTTTATCCGTTTTGTTCACAGCTGTATCCCAGCATCTAGAACAGGGTCTGGCATGTCGTGGGTGCTCAATAAATATTAGTGTATTTATAAATTAAGCAACGAGATGAAATGGACCCGATGGCCCCTTCTAACTCTGATTCGGTCATCTTCTCGTTACATTATCTGTTCGCTCCACAAGTGTTTATCGGGGCCCTAGCCACCCAGAATGACCCTCCCTCCCTTAATCAGGAAGTTAGGATCCCGCTCAGCAGACCCCCCCCCCCCCCCCCCGCACAGACCAGAGAGGAAAACAAGCCCTGGTGTGCAGACAACATAATGCAGGGCTCTTCTCAGGGTTTCAGATCTGCACCACGGGAGGGGGGCGCTGGAGAGCATGGGATTGCCCAGCGAGAAGCTTTCAAAACCTGTTCCCATCCATTCCCATTAAGGAGAAAGGCTCAGCTTGGTGTTCTACCCCTAACTTCTTTAACAGTCCCTTCCCTTTTTCTTGTTTTTAAGTTTATTTATTTTTGAGAGGGAGAAAGAGACAGAGTGTGAGCAGGGGAGGGGCAGAAAGAGAGGGAGACACAGAAGTGGAAGCAGGCTCCAGGCTCTGAGCTGTCAGCACAGAGCCCGACGCAGGGCTCGAACTCACAAGCCTCGAGATCGTGACCTGAGCTGAAGTCGGAGGCTTAAACCGACTGAGCCCCCCGGGCGCCCCTAACTTCCGTTTTTAAAAAGAGAAGGCAAGCTTCCAGCCATAAAGCCTTGGCAGGCTGGCATTTAAAAATAGTGGTTTGTGATGATTATATTCATCTTGGTTATTTTTCTAAGTGGGACATGTGACTCTAGCCTTTTTATATAGATTACCAACATAAATTGTCCTTCTGAAATAGCTGGGAACCAAAGTGAGCTGACTGAAAGAACAAGGGCGAGAAAATAATCATACAGCAACTATTTAGGGAGCACCCACCATGCGCCAGGGCGTGTTCTAGGCGCTGCGGATGCCGCTGTAAACAGACTGCCTTCCTGAAGTTTACATCCAGGCGGGGGCAGAAGACTGACCCAAGGGCGGCCCTCCCTGCCCCTCTGGGGTCCCGCCGTTGCGGGGCAGCCCCGTGTGGGGGACAGAGAGGACGCTCAGGTGTGGGCAGCATCGGGCAACCTCGGAGCCCGGAGGGTGGGGGGGGTGGGGGGGGCGGGGGTGGGGGGCTGGGCCGGGACCCAGGCTCTGGCGCCCCTCCCCGACAGGCCAGCCCTCGCCAGGCCCTGGAGCGCTATTTCCACACCGTGGTGGCAGCCGTGGAGCAGATGGCCAGCGAGCCCAGCCCGAGCCGGGAGGGACACCTGGAGAGGCTGGAGGAGATTTACTGCTCGCTGCTGGGGCCGGAGGCGGCCGCCAGGGGGCGCTGCGGCGGTAAGCGGGCGGGGGCGGCGAGGCCCGGCGAGGGCCCGCAGGGGGGCGCCGGAGAGCAGCGCTGCACCTGCCGCGCGTGGCTGAGGCGGGCGGGCCTGCGCGGCTCCTGGGGGGCCTGGGGACCGAGGGCCGCCCGGGGAACTTGGACGGTCCCGGGCTAAGCAGGCAGAGAGGAAGCCTGGACGGGACCATATGGGGGAGAGAGGGTCTCTGCACGCCCCCCGGGCCCTCCAGGAGCCGCAGGGGAGGGCAGAGGAGAATCCCACAGCCCGCTCCCCCCCTTCTTTCAGGCGACCCCCTGCAGTTCCCGCAGCCAAACATCCCTCTGCCCAGCCCCCACATCACCTTCCACCTGTGGACGGATGAAGACCAGCTCTGTAAGTGCCTCACACCTCCTCCCTGCAGAGCTGAAGGGAAATGAGTGTGTGTGTGTGTGTGTGTGTGTGTGTGTGTGTGTGTGTTTCTCAGTGTGTGTGTGTGTGTGTGTGCATTCGCCTGTCTGTGTTTGTGTGTGTGCGTGCAACTGTGCTTTCATGGGCCTGTAGGTCTGTGTCTGCGTGACTGCGTGTATCACGTGTGTGTATCTATTTATGTCCTTGCGTGTGTGTGTGCACATCTCTCTGTGTGTGTGTGTGTGTGTGTGTGTGTGTTCACGTGTGTGCGCCTTGCTCCCTGAGCTGTTCTGCACGTCTGGAAGAACGCGTTTTCTCTATGGCAGAAGAGCTCGGTGCCTTAGCCACTGGCCTCACCTAGAAAGGGCCACATGCCCAAGCTGATGCCGACAGACAATGAATGTCCCCAAGAAGGAGGCAGTCACACAGAAGTTACAGTTCCAGGAGCTGGAGGGGTCCTTCCAGAGAGATCTGCTTGCCTCACACTTCTGTCCACACTGGCCTTCCCCTCACACTGTCCCTGGCTCTTCTCAAGAGAGGTGGGGGTGGGGGGTAGGGGGAAGTGCTGGCTGGTGAACTAGGCCCAAGTCCCTCCTTGCATGGGCTGGGTCATCCTAGACTGACTCTGTGTTCTCTCTGGGCCTCAGTTTCCTCATGGGTAATAAAATGAAAGTAGATGAGAAAAGCCTAGGGGCACCTGTGTGGCTCAGCGGTTAAGCGTCAGACTTCAGCTCAGATCATGATCTCACCGTTTGTGAGTTCAAGCCCCGCGTGGGGCTCTGTGCTGACAGCTCAGAGCCTGGAGCCTGCTTTAGATTCTGTGTCTCCCTCTCTCTCTTCCCCTCCCCTGCTCATGCTCTGTCTCTCTCTCTCTCTCTGTCAAAAATAAATAAACATTAAAAAAAATAATAAAAATAAAAAAACATTTCTCGAAAGAAAGAAGGAAAGAAAGAAAGAAAAACCTAGAAGTCTTTCCTGGAGTAGGCAGGGTCTGCTCTCTGTGTCCCAGGGGAAGCCACAGACAATAAGAGGATAGGAGGAAGCTAATAAAGAGGGCTCCAGAGTCAGCGAAGGGGAAGGCACCGAGTGTAGCTGACTACTGCAGGACTTCTCAGAGCCTTGAGTACATGTACTCAACACGAGGTGTCAGGAATATGCGGGCTTCGCCATCTCTGTTCACCGCAGGACCTTTGTTCCTTCGCGGGGCATCTTATGGGGCTTCTGTCCAGCTGAACGGTGTTTGAGAAACACGGGAGCCCAGGCCTTGCAGGGGTGAGGCCCTGCCAGCCTCCTCTGACCTCTCCTCCCCGCTCCCCGCATCCCAGGGAAGGAACTGGTGCTGTTCCTGCGCCCGCGATCCCAGCTGTGCCTCAGCGCCGACTTGGAGGCCTTGGATCTGCAGGGCCTCTGGCCGGACCGGGAGCTGGCCCGGGTGTCCATGCTGTCCACCGACAGCGGCATCGAGCGGGACCTTCCTCCGGGGGCTGACGAGCTGCCCCTACCCGGCAGCCCCGAGATGGAGCGCGCCAGGCTGCAGCGCAAAGGCGGCGTCAAGAAGCGGGTGCGGCTCCCGGACGTCTTGATGCCCGCGTGCTGGGACGGGCCCCCGGGTCTACACCGCAGGACGGGCAGGCCCAGTGGGGACGGGGAGCTACTGCCTGGTGTGTCGCGGCTTCACACGGCCAGGGTGCTGGTGCTGGGGGACGACAGGATGCTGGGGCGCCTGGCCCAGGCCTACCACAGCCTCAGGTAGGGCCCGGAGGGGGGCGGGGCGGGGCGGGGCGGGGCGGGGGGCGGGGCTGCGTCAGACCCAGCTCGCCGCCGCCGCCAGGGGGCACTGCGCTCACCAGCTCGGCGCTTTACGTTCTGGCGAGCCCAGCAGTCCTCGTCACCACGCTGCGCCCATTCTGCAGATGAGAAAACGGGTGCCGAGAGATTGAGTAGGTCGCTCACAGGCAAGGGAGAATACAGAGCAGAACCAGGATGTGGAACGTTGGAAGCGCAAACCCCTGCCCTGACCCCTGTGTTCCGCCCTCTTTGCTAGGAAACGAGAGACCCAGAAGTGCTGCCTCACCCCCAGGCTCAGTCTGCAGCTGTACTACATCCCCGTGCTGGCACCCGAGGTGGCTGGGCAGGGGAGGGGGGAGGCACGTCGGGGAGGACGTGGGAGGGGCGTCCCCTGCCTCAGGGGCTGGGCAGGGGGCACGCTTTAGCCCCATTCCTGGCCCCAGGGACTAGGATCACCCTTCCTTAGGATGCGGGGCTGGGGGAGCCCTTGTGGGTCTGTGTCCCGGAAGCCACAGACGCAGGCCCCGGAGGCCCAGTGTCCCCTCGGGGGGGGGGGGGCGGGGGGGCGGAGCGGGCAGCCTGCCCAGTGCTGAATTTTGTTTTGCTTTCCTGGTGGAATTTATTGCAAGCCTCTCCTCAAACAGGGGCTCACACGCACGCACGCACAGCATGCTTCCTGGGATCCCATGAAAAGAAGTTTCGGGCAGTGGGAGCCCTTTGATCTATTGGGGGCCAGACTGCCTTGGCGGCTTTTCGATTATTCGATTGCCCCGCTCTGCTTGCTTAGTGGGGAGCATTGAATTCCAAGCAGTATTTGTCTCTCTACTTCCAAGGCTGAAGATCGTCGTTCAATGTCCCCAGCAAGCGGTCCTCAGTTAAGGGTTTACCAACTTCATCTGAGGTATAAGACCTAATAGGCTTCACGTGGCAGAGAAACCAAGGCCCCAAGAGGTTCAGTGATCGGACCATAATCCCAAGGCCAGTTTGCGGAGGGGACCCTCTGGCCAGAGACCCGGCCTGATGGGTCTGCCCCGTCCCCTTGTCCCCAGAAACAGGCATCATGCAGACATTCGGAGCTCAGAGAGCTGGCCACATTCCTGGGCCGCGCAGACCCGTGGTATGAGAGCACCGTGAACACACTGTGCCCGGCCATCCACAAGCTGGCAGAGATGGTAAGGGGGCAGCGAGGGCGGGAGGGGGGGGCATTTCAGATGTTACCCTTGACCCTTGACCTCAAGGGTCAACCCCAGGGCGCCCCCCCCCCCCGGGGTGGGATGAGGCCAGAAGGAAGCATGGAAGCTGGTGGTCGAAATTCCCCCAGGCACCTGCTTTGGGTGGAACACCGGGGAGACCATCGAGCAAAACATTCTTTCCTTAGTGTGTAGGCCAAGGTGCTTCCTGGGACGGCCTCTCCATGAGTGTAATAGCCCATGTTTCCTGAGCACTTACGGGTGCCAGGCGCTGTTCAAGGGCACTCGCACTCCACGGCCCTACCAAGTAGGCACTCTTGTCGGCAGGTGCGAGTGTAGCCATCTCCCCACTTTACAGACCAAACTACTGAGGCGTGAGATTAGGGAACTTGTCCAAAGTAAAAAGGCGAGAGGTGGACTCCCACCCGGAACCGGACAGCTTGATTCCAGGTAGGCGGCTCGTGAGTTCATCTTCCAGTGAGTTGAAAAGATCTTCATTTATTAAGAGAATCTCTTTTTTTTTTTTTTTCCCAAGTAAACGCCACCCCACCCCCCAACGTGGGGCTCGAACTCACAACCCTGAGATTAAGGGTCGCTGGCTCTACGCGCTGAGTGAGCCAGGCAGGTGCCCCTACTACTAAGAGAATCTTAACCTTTTAGCCGTCAGGTGTTGCCGACGCCTTTTTCCACTCTGTTATTTGCCTGTGAATTTCATCAGCAGTGTTTTCTGACTTACAGAAATTTGACATATATATTTTTTCTTTATTTATTTTTTTAATGTTTATTTATTTATGAGAGACAGAGAGAGCATGAGCAGGAGAGGGGCAGAGAGAGAGCGAGACACAGAGTCCGAAGCAGGCTCCAGGCTCCGAGCTGTCAGCACAGAGCCCAATGCGGGGCTCGAACTTACAAACCGTGAGCTATGACCTGGGCCGAAACCAAGAGGCGGACGCTCCACCGACTGAGCCCCCCGGGCGCCCCCAGAAGTTTAATATTTTTATGTCACGCTCAGAACTTTTATCCTTTGAGAGACCTGCCTTTGGAGTCCTGCTTTGAAGGTTCTCCTCTGCTGATTAAATTACATCCAAGAGTAGATAAATATTCCCTGATAATTTACTGTAACTCTTTTAATGCCTCGGTTTTCACATTTAAATTAACGTGCCTGCGACTGGTTTCAGTGCTTTGTGTGAAGCATGCGAATGTCTTTTTTCCAAATGTGTAGCCAGTTGTCCTAAAGCTATTTATAGCACAAGCCATCTTGCCCCATCAGTCTGAAATGCCACTTTTCTCGTTTACTAAATTTTTATTCTTTCTTGTTGATCCATCCATTTCCGGACACATTAGTACTTTCATATTTTAATAGCAGGCAGGATAAACCGACTTCATTACTCTTCTTCCGGAAAATGTTTCAGACTATATCTGTTTCCAGATAAATATTAGAATTTTGTCAAGTTTTTTTTTTTTTTAATCCCCCCCGCCCCCCCACCCCCAACCCCCCGCCACCTTGGGATTTTGATTGAAATTTGGAAGAGACTTAGCCTCTTTAGCGTGTTAAGTTACTCCCTGTGGGAGCACAGGATTTTTCTTTATTTACAAAAGTCTTATATGTCCCTCAGGATAGCTACACTTTTAGCGTGTTTTTCTTGCTGAATCTGCTCCTTACGTTTGATGGCTTTTTTTTTTGTAGTTGTGGGTGGTGTCTCTTTCCCCTTATATTTGGGTAGCACTTGCTGTTGTATGAAGGAGTCTATTGAGTTAAGCTACCTTATTTTCTTTAAGTTTTTGTTTAATGTTTATTTATTTTTGAAAGAGAGTGCAAACAGGGGAGGGGCAGAGAGAGAGGGAGGCACAGAATCCGAAGCAGGCTCCAGGCTCCGAGCCATCAGCACAGAGCCCGATGCGGGGCTCGAACCCACGAACCGCGAGAGCATGACCTGAGCTGAAGTTTGACACTTAACTGACTGAGCCCCCCCCCCAAACACTGCTAGGTACCTTATATTCTAAGTTGACACTTCACTGAGATCTTTGTGTCATTTTATTGCCTGATTGATTGGGGTTCTTTCTTATACCTTCTAATAAAAATGTAGGGGGGGGGCCTGTTTCCTGAATTATTGCTTACCCGAAAAGTGTCTTTGTGCATACACAGAAGACTGGTTAGCCGAGTATTGAAATACCTTTTCCTCAAAACTTGGAGGCTATCAGGGGCACGTGGGTGGCTCAGTCGGTTGAGCATCTGACTCTTGATTTTGGCTCAGGTCATGATCTCATGGTTTGTGGGTTCGAGCCCCGCATCGGGCTCTGTGCTTACAGTGCAGAGCCTGCTTGGGATTCTCTCTCTCTCTCTCTCTCTCACGCTTTTCTCTCCGCCCCTGCTTTGCTCCTGCTCATTCTATCTCCCCCAAAATAAAAATACTTGGGGCACCTGGTGGCTCAGTCGGTTGAGCGTCCGACTTCAGCTCAGATCACGATCTCACAGCCTGTGAGTTCGAGCCCCACGTCGGGCTCTGTGCTGACAGCTCAGAGCCTGGAGCCTGTTTTGGATTCTGCGTCTCCCTCTCTCTCTCCCCCCCCCCCCCCCGCTTATGCTTTGTCTCTCTCTCTCTCTCTCTCTCTCTCTCTCTCTCAGAAATAAATAAACATGAAAACATTTTTTAATAAATAAATAAGACTTGGAGGCTGTTAGGGGAGGAACTTCTGCTCTTTGGTTGGTACCTTTTTCCCCGCCCCCATGCCAGGACACATGTAGAAATCAGGGTTCCCCCTGCTTGCTTTGCCCTAATAATTAGCAGTTTGTATGACCCCCACACTTAGTCCAAACGCAGTTTCCACATGAAGAGACTGGAAACAGTGTGAGAGATACATAGATCGATAGACAGATCGATCAATTGATAGATAATGATATAATACTTGAATACGACAAGAGCTAAAGGAGACCGCAAATCACCTCGCCTCTCGGGCCCAAGGTCACCTGGCCAGTGAACGCCTAATCCAAACCTGGAACTCAGTTCAGCCCCTGTGATCATTGGCTATGTTCTCAAGCATCTGGTCCTTACCCCAAGTGTCCAGCTCCTTCCCTTCCAGCTAGAGGCGCCCCCTGTGTCTTTGAGCAAAGTGGAATGCATCGGAGGCCCTGGGGGGCCGGGACCCTGGACAAGTATATCTGCCTGAGGAGTAGACATCAGGCGGTCAGCAGGGCCTGGACTGCGTCGAGGGACCAGTTGGGTTTAGTGCCTCACGGAGGGGGACACGGGAGCCTTGGAGCTTCTCCGTTCTGAAAACAGCACCTCCCACCATAGCCCGGAGGGTGGCGGCTGAAGGCCTTCCCTGCCCCCCTCACAGCCTCCCTCCCTGGACACATCCCGGACCGTGGACCCCTTCATCCTGGATGTCATCACCTATTACCTTCGCATGGGCACCCAACCCGTCTACTTCCAGATCTACACAGTCAAGGTAAGTATGGCCCTCCCCCGCCCCCCGGGACCCCACCGCCAAAACACTCCGGCTCTGGGGAGACACAGGTTAGCAGGGCACACGTCACAGACCCACCCAGACGCTCCTGGTTGCTAACCGTGTCTTTCCAGTCTTTGGACGAATCGGATAATCATTACCTTCGCAGGCATCCTGAGCAGAAGTACATCTTTGCGTGGAAAGATGCTTTAGGCCTTGACCCCGCGGAGGGCTGGCGATAGGGCTGCTGCGAAAGTTCTCACCAGCAATCGCTCCGTCTCAGAAATCCTCAACGCTCACTGTCCAGTCTCTGATCGCACACTGCCGCCCCTGCGAGGCCCCCTCCCCTTCTCCCCCCACCCCACCCCTGCCTCCTCGCTTCCCCTCTGTCTCCCCTCCCAGCAAAACCCGAGCCCAGGGCAGCGCTGAAGTGCGCCTCAGCGCTTGCTAAGCTCGGGGCCCCTGAGCACCTGCTAAAAAATAAGCCGAAGCCCTCTGGCCGGACACGGACACACCCCCGGTGCCGCAGTGGCTGTTCCCGCCTTCCCTGCTTTCCTTGAGTCCTCACTCTCCGCAAGTGGCTTGGCCCCCCACTCCGCTGGAGGGAAAGTGGAGACCATTAGGTGTCCCCAGAGCTTCTGTCCATGCCTACACATGCATGCACACCTCCCCAGCAGACGCGAAGCCCCCCCCCCCCCCACCAGTTCAGGCAAAACCCCATGATGCATGCCCTTCCGGTCTGTTCCCGCCTCCTCCGGGACCGTCCCCCTCAACCTGAGATTTCGGGAGGCGGCCTCTGCTGCTTCCTCTCTCGTTCCGGATTCTCGTCCCTCACTCTGCATCCCGTGGTGGAAATTTTCTTCATGACCTTCCCCCTTTCTGACCTAAATGAGGCAATTAGCTCCTGTCGCTGGTTTCCAAAAGGCAAAACGAAACAACCCAAGTCAAACAAACAGATGGGAGTAAACATCTCAGCCGCGCAAATAAATTGAAAGGTTAGGCATCCCGTCGCTGCCCTTTGGCCAGAGGCCCCTGGAGCAGACCTGGGTTTGCGGGTTCTGGCCAGGCCGGCAGCGTGAAGCAGTGCACAGCATGGACAACCGTGGGCAGAGGCTGTTAGAAGGCACTTATAACGTGGCTTTGGGCTCAAGTCAGGTGATTTGGGGGAGAAGCCCCCAAAGCAGGCTGTGCCCTGGCTCAGAAGCTGTCAGGAGGCCGGGAGTGGTTCTGTGGTTGGGCATCTGGATCGTTCTTAATTCTGAGTAATCCTTTGATTGGAAAAATGTCGGGATGGGGCCCGCACACAGTCCTGTTTTTTCCTGTGTTTGTGACGGTGGCAGGGTCTGCTTCCTGTCTTGACCCATCATGTTCCCAGGGACGCCCCTCCAGCCCCAGATTTCCAGCCCCAACCCAGAATGGCTCAGCTCCCTCGAGCCCTTCCGTCCTGGCTGGTCTCGCCTTGCAAGTCAGGAATGGGGTCCCCCTCTCTGGCCCCTCTGGCGTCCACAAGAGATTTTCTCACACGGCCCCGCCCCTGTGTGAATTGTGTGCCCCGTTCATTCCGCGTTAGACTGTCGTGGTTGCAGACCGTCGAGGACGGCTTGGGTTCTGATACCAGTGGCTTCCCCTATTTGTAAATATATTACATCACTGGACACCTGTGGACAGGCAGGTCCGGGAAGTCACTGCCTGGACGGTGGGGGCCCCGGCCCTGCTTCCTTCCAGAAGCTCTCCAACCGTCCACACCTCCTCCCTCCCTCCAGATCTTCAGGGACCTGAGCCAACACCCTGCAGAGGACATTTTTCTCACTGAGCTCAAGGTGAAGATTCAAGACACCAAGCCCCCCAAAGGTGAGCATCCTCCCTTCCCAGAGCTCACTGACGCATCTCCGGCCAAGCCCTGTTTCTGGAACGTCCTCCCGCCTCTCACCTAATGCCCCCCCCCCCACTCCACCAAATACCGGGGTGCCCTTGGCTCCTCCAAGCTTGCCTGGACTGGAACCCTCGAGATGCTTCCTTTCCATCCAAGGAGAGATGCTGTCACAATTCAGCAGCTCCGCTCGGCCTGGGTGAGGCGGGAGGGGCAGGAGCCTCCTACGCGATTCAGCCTCTTCCCTCCTCCTCCCTCAGATGGCTTTTCACCCAGGAGGAGGGGCGCAGCCGAGGGCCCAGGGGCTGAGCTCAACATTTGCTACCAGAAGGTGAGTGGTTCGTGGGGGGGCGGGGGGCTGCTCAGGAGGAGGTGGGAGGCACAGGATTGGAAGCAGGCATCAGGGACAGGCTGGTGGCAGCAGACAGAGCCAGAACCTCCTGCCCCAGTTTCCCCAACCTTTGGAGAGTTTTGCAGGGATGAGCAAATTACCACTGGCCTGGCACGCAGCCGAGGCGGCCACGTGATTTAAGGGACAAGGGGCCTGTCCTGTTGCTGGAGGATGCCTTCCTCCCTAGCTGGCCAGATGCTTGAACTGATGGCATGGGAGACGTGTCCCTTCGGGCCTGGGAGGCTGACCGTGCTCCCTGGGGCCAAGAGTGCTCTCCGCCTCTCCCCGCCAGCCCCGCCTTGGACATTGGCGACTCGGACAAGAACCTCAGTCAGGGCAGGGGTGGGAAGCAGGACTGTTGACACGAGGGTGCCCGGGGGGACAGGGATGTTCTGAGGACCCCCTTGGTGCCCGCATCCCCCTCCAGGCCCTGCTCAGCCACCGGGCCCAAGAGGTCGCCGTTTCCCTGCGGGCCACTGGGCTGGTCCTGAAGACCTTTGCAGCCAGTGACACTGAAGGTAAGGAGCTGGAGAGAGAAGGCAGGAGAAGGGGGTGGGTGGGGGGAGAAGGAAAAAGGGGTGAGTGACGGTAGGTGAGGTGACCCCGAGCCATCGGGCCTCCCACCCAATCCTGAGGTCGTGCAGGGCTGAGCACCGGGTGCCCGGGTGCGGCGTGGTATCTGCCCTCACCATCGGGGGGACGTGCGACAGCATTGGCCTCGGCCCTGCCCTGCAGCTGGAAGGCAGAGGGGCCACACGGAGGGGGTCCTGCCGCCCTCCTGCCCCTGTTGCGTCTGGAGATGTTTTCTTCTGAATGTCACTCCACCGGGGGGCAGGTAACCCCCAGTTCACCAAAGGCACCACCGGCCCAAACTCTCTAATTTTAGCTAATTACCTAATAATAGCTATGTATCTAATAGATAATAAGATAGTTTATCTAACGCTCCAAATCTAAAATAGAGATGTTAAAAAGATACCGATGTAAATGCCGAGAGTGAAGGATAATCGTGAGCTGTTCCGTTAGCCCCCTGGTCTTCTGGAAGAAAGAAAAGTTCGGTGACGTGAGTGAGGACGTCACCGAACCCCTTGATCAGAGGCCGGGCAATGTTCTGTGTCAAACACATCGACTCTCCGAATCCTGTGAGATCGGCATTATTAATACCAGCCGCTTTCTACCGGAGACGTAACTGAAGGCGGAGAAATGCTGGAGGCCAGGTCACGTCCGTGAGGAAGGGTCAGAGCCCGGATTCACACCCAGGCCGTCCGGGTGCTGGCTTTCAGGCAAAGGAAGCAGGGGACCCAGCAAGACCACCTTTATTTGTGCATGTTTTTTTTTTTTCTTTAATGTTTATTTTTGAGAAAGAGAGACAGAGTGTGAGCAGGGGAGGGGCAGAGAGAGAGAGGGAGACACAGAATCCGAAGCAGGCTCCAGGCTCCGAGCCGTCAGCACAGAGCCCGACGCGGGGCTCGAACTCACGAACCGTGAGATCACGACCTGAGCTGAAGTCGGACATTCAAGCGACTGAGCCCCCCCAGGCACCCCCCCACCCGCCCACCCCCACGCTAACTTGCGCTCCTCCCATCGATCGCGTGCCGGGCGCTTCAGGAAGGGCCCACCGCACCTTCTTCCACAGAAAAGGGGCGCGGGAGGGGGTGCAGAAAGGCATGGGGAGGTGGCTGCCGTGACAGAGGATACCCCGTGGGTCCCCCAGGGAAAGGCAGTGGATGTTCAGGAAGGAACTGAAACGCAGTCGGGACCAAGGCGCAGTCAGGAAGTGGGGGGGCCCGTTACAGCCACCTGCTTCCCATCTTGTTCCCCCCAGTTTCTGGACCCGCCCCCGCCCCGCCACCTGCTGTCCCCGTGACAGACCACACGTGCCTGAACGTCAGCGTGACGGAGGTCATCAAGTCCTCCAACTTGGCGGGAAGGTCCTTCTCTGTAAGTACTGGGCAGCACGGGATACTCAAACGAGGTAGGTGGCCCGGGCCGGGGTGTTCGGAGAAGGGGAGATGGCTTCTGAGCCTTTGCTGTCGGACCGGGTCTTCCCCTTGGAGAGAATTTGCTCTCCCCTGGTGTGTGGCGTACCGGGGAGCACCGGCTGGTGTAACTGAGGCCCGGGGAGAGTCAAGCCCCCCCCGCCCCCACCGCTGGCCCTTGAAGGACCGAGGACGGGCCCAGGTCTGGCCTCCCGAGCGCTCCCCAGCATCCAGACTCCTAAGCGGCAACAGCCCAACCTTGAACCACATGGAGCCGGCTCCTTAACCTCATCACCCCGACCGCTGCCCTTTGCCCTGATTGATACTTATTGATTTGGACTCCCTTATTGATAGAGACCCAGCACCCACCCACTCTCCCCCATCTCGTGGCCTCTCTGGACTTCACTTCCCCACTCAGCTGGGCTGTGGATCCCAGGATTACGCCTGAACCCTGTTCTCAGCCCCGCTCCGCTCCCAGGCATCAAGTCGCTACTCAGTCCGTATGCTCAGTGGCTGAGTGCTTCTGGAATAAATCCTGCGTCCATGGGAGCAGACCCCTGCCCTCGTACCCCAACGCCCTTCTCTTGCCTGTCTTCTGGGCTTTTATTCGCTATTCATCTATGCTAGTTCCTTTCCTCCAGTGTGGACCTTCTCTACCGCTCCTCCCTCGTGGCCTGGAGACGTGCTCTGGTCTTTTCCATCCTAGTTTTCAGTCTCCCGCCAAAAACTCTCCTCCCCGCTATCATCTGGGTAACACCCTCCCCACTGTGGCAAAGTCGCCTCCGTGGTCGCTGAGACCAAAGCTGTCTTTCTGGTCCTCAATGATTATCTTCCCCTTTAAACATAACGTTTTAGGGGCGCCTGAGGGGCTCAGTCCGTGAAGCGTCAGACCTCGGCTCAGGTCCTGATCTCAGGGTTTGAGATCCCGCGTCCGGCTCTGTGCTGACAGTGGGGAGCCTGCTTGGGATTCTCTGTCTCTCTCTACCCTCTCCCCTGCTTGCTCTCTCTCTCTCTCAAAATAAATCAATAAACTTAAAAAAAAAAAAAAAGTAATGTTTTAACCTGTAAAGAAAAGTTCAGTGATTTGGGGGAAATGCAAAAAACAAACAAACAAAAAACAAAACACCCCACAAAGAAGCAAATGTACTTCTAGTCCCATTTTCTAGAAGGAATGACTGTTACTATTTCGAGGTGCAAGCACCCAGCCTGTTTTCTGTATGTCTTTAACTTAATTGATCGCTACATACTATCAAAGTACGGAGTAAAAACTTGACGTTTCTATTCCAAAATATACTAAGGCTTTGTGAGTCTGCCTGGGCGAGATCTTGTTCATGTCACTAAATATGTCACAGTCGATATTTCTCCTATGATGGCTATATAGGTCCGTGTGGTTATTTAACTGATTTGCTTATAATACATTTAGGTGAGTTCTCATGTTTGCGTATTATAAGCAATAATTATATAGTTATTATATAATTATAATAATTGTAAGCAATACCGCAAGGAACATGCATAGGGATAAATAGGTACTAAAAATCACAGTTAAACCTTTTTTAAAAATGTCTAAAAGTGAGCTCACTCAGTCAAATGGCATCCATATGTTAGGACTTTTGATATATTTTGATGTATTGCCCTCCATGATGTTTGAGAGGGTCAATTTTTCTGCACAATTAACACGTGGACTAATTTTTTCATCCTTGTAAATTTGTCAGGATTTTCATTATTTCCATTTGTGTGTCTTTGATTACCAATTAAGTGGAAGTGTTTCTTCTACACAGCGATAATTTCTATTTCTTCATTTGTGTATTTTCTGTTTATGTTCTCATGTGATGTTACTATTGTGGTCTCTATTTTATGATATGAGAATATTAATCCCTTATGTCATATTTTTGTAAATGTTTATTTATTTTGAGAGAGAGAGAGAGAGAGAGCAAGGGAGGGGCAGAGAGAAGGAGAGAGAGAATCCCAAGCTGACAGTGCAGAGCCTGATGCAGGGGTCGATCTCACAAACCATGAGGTCATGACCTGAGCGGACAGGAGTCGGGTGCTTAACTGACTGAGCCACCAAACGCCCTTGTCACGTGTTTTAAGAAATATTTTTTTCTCAAGTTTGTCTTTTGGTGTTATGGGTTTGTTTCTTTGTTTTTTACCTAAAATATATTTATATTTTGATGAAGCAAAAGCTACCAGTTACTTTCCTTTGATGATTTCCGCCCCTGCTATGATCGCACATTAAAGGCACCTGATTCTTCTTCAAACATTATGTTTCATCAAGTTAAAGAGAGACCATAATTGTACACACCGCTCAGAAGGAGACAATGCTTCCTGAAGGACAAGCAAGGCTTTCTTATCATCTGGGTTGCAAAATAGTTCCTAATTTCAGAGATGTTGAAATATGTGGGTGGGGAGAGAATCAATGAAAATGAGGGGCGTCTGGGTGGCTCAGTCAGTTAAGTGTCTGACTTCAGCTCAGGTCATGATCTTACAGTTCGTGGGGTCAAGCCCCACATCAGGCTCTCTGCTGTTAGCACAGATCCGTTCTCTCTCCCTCTCTGCCCTTACCCTTTCCCACCCTCTTTTCCAAAATAAATAAACATTAAAAAAATAAGAATCAAAATGACACGCTTATTCCTTTAATAATACAGTTTTTTTTCCTTCTTATGTTTCTTTGCTCATTTTATTTATTTTTTTCTTTGCTCATTTAAAAAAAAAAATTTTTTAACGTTTATTTATTTTTGAGACAGAGAGAGACAGGGCATGAGGAGGGGCAGAGAGAGAGGGAGACACAGAATCCGAAACAGGCTCCAGGCTCTGAGCCCTCAGCACAGAGCCCGACGTGGGGCTCGAACTCACGGACCGTGAGATCATGACCTGAGCCGAAGTCAGATGCTTAACCGACCGAGCCACCCAGGCGACCCTTTTCTTTGCTCATTTTAAAGATTTTCACTTTATAGTCTGATGTATATAATTACATTATCTGTACTTATCGGGAGTTTAATCCCTGCGTTTACTGGGTCCACTGAACCCCATGGCAGCTTAATTCTTTGTATGTTTCCTCAACTGGAGGTATGTTTTCCAGGTGTGTTTCCTACCTGTTGGGGCTTTGTCTGTGGGAAATCTGGGTGGAAAACGCGACCTTCTAGAGAAATTCTGTATTTGCCTTAGCCACGGGCCCCCGGGATATTGTCAGCCCAAGCCCATATTTTGAGTTAATTTCTTGGCTCAGAAATTCCCAGACCCCAGATCCACCTAAGGACAGACTTGTGGCTAAGAATTCCCAGGGAATATTTGTCCTCCTCATTCATAGCACAGGCTGCAATTTTTTTTTCTAATAGAGTGTTTTGCTGAGAGCATAGTGTTCAAGAGTCCTTGGGCGGGGTAGCGGGGATGGATCTCAGTTCCCAATCCCTGCCTCATATGAGCCCATGGTTGTCCCCCGCACCCATGGCTATTGACACCCAAGCCCCTTGATTCCTGAGATTACTAAATTCCCCCGAGACAACCAAAGCCTCTGACCCACACAACTTCAACTTTAGAATTTATGGCATTAGCCTCACTGCCCGGTCCATGATCAATTTTTAAACATCCTGTGATAACTGAAGAGAGACACGTGTGTTTTTTTGTCTACAGAATGCAAAATATGGCATATAATTATTAGGTCAGGCACACCATATTACTCTAATCTGCAACTAAACATTTTTTTTTTGTCTACTTCATCTATCCAAAATAGGAAAGGTTGGTCCACATTCCCAGTATGGCTTTGATTTTGTCAATGGGATCTCAGTTTGTTCAAACCTGAATGTTCTACTTTCTGGCACTGCTGCTGAAAAATATGATAACTTCTTGTGCTGTTCCTTTCTCTCCCTTTCTAGAAGCTTCTGAGGCTTCATTTCATAAAAGGTTCTGGAATATCACAAGCATATGCCTTGGTGGAATCATTTTCATTCATTATTGTGGATCTTTAAATTTTTTTTAATGTTTTTATTTATTTTTGAAAGAGAGAGACAGAGCATGAGTGGGGGAGGAGCAGAGAGGGAGGGAGACACAGAACCAGAAGCAGGTTCCAGGCTCTGAGCTGTCAGCACAGAGCCCAGTGCGGGGCTCGAACTCATAAACTGTGAGATCATTACCTGAGCTGAAGCCAGACGCTCAACCGACTGAGCCACCCAGGCGCCCCGTTATTGTGGATCTTTAAAAGACATCATCTAGGGGCACCTGGGTGGCTCAGTCGGTTAAGCATCCGACTTTGGCTCAGGTCATGATCTCACAGCTCGTGAGTTCGAGCCCCGTCTGCGTCAGGCTCTGTGCTAGCAGCTCAGAGCCTTGGGCCTGCTTCATGTTCTATGTCTCCCTCTCTCTCTCTCTGCCCCTCCCCCACTCATGCTGTCTCTCTCTGTCTCTCAAAAATAAACAAACATTAAAAAAATTAAAAAAAAAAAGACATCATCAAATCTGGAGACACATCTTTTGGTGCTAACATATTTTCTAATGTAGTTTTTAAAAATTATTTCCTTCCTCTGTTTCTTTGTTATTTCTTTCTGGAACTACAGAGAGCTGGGTGTTAGATCTAGAGGGATACTCTGATTTTCTAATCTTTTCTGTCTCACCATCCTTCTCTTTCTTTCTTCAAGTTTTGAGAGTTTTCTTCAAACTCACTTACTGAATGTTTAAGCTTCAAGATTTTTTTCTTGTTTTCTGATTCTTCTTTTTTTTTAAAAGATTTTATTTTGAAGTAATTTCTATACCCAACGTGGGGCTCAGGCTCAAACTCACAACCCTAAGATCAAGAATCGCACTCTCTACCAGCTGAGCTGGCCAGGCACCCCTCTGGTTATTCATTTTTTAATATTATTTGATTCTTGTGTCATCGATGCAGTATCTGCTTTCTCTGAAGATATTAATTAACTGTGGTTTATTTGAAATTTACTTCTGCCCCCTACATTGTATTTATTTCCTGTAAAT